CCGTAAACCCTATGAAGAACAGTTCTACTCTGTAACACATGGGGTCACCATGAGTCGGAAACAACTCAACAGTAATGAGTTTGGTTTTTGAGGCTATTAAAAGTACTGGTAGTCTCCCAGGAAGGAGCCCTGGTGGCGCAATAGTTAAACGCTCAGCTACTAACTGAAAGGTTGGTAGTTTGAACCCACCAAGCAGATCCATAGGAGAAAGGCCTGGCCATTTGCTTCCATAAATATTATAGCCAAGAAAACCCTATGGAACAGTTCTACTCTCTCCGATGGGGTCACTATGAGTTGAAATCAACCCAACAGTACCTAACAACAATAGTCTCCCTGGACACTAAACCCTGTCAGTAATCTTGACCAACACGGTTAGTTACACAGAATGGTTAACATGATTAATCTTGACCAACATGATTAACACAGAATACACAGGAAATGCACAGAGGTTATGACAGAGCTTTGTCACTCTTTTAAATATAGTTCTCTAAATCTTACAATAATAACTACACCATTTGCTCATATTTGAGGTAAGAGAAATAGGAAAATATAAATGAGTGGATAAATGGTAGATAGATAGATAGACAGACAGCTAGATAGGAACAAGGTAGAGTGGGAAAAGCACAGGGTTTAGAAACAACTGGATTCAAATCCCACTTCTGCCATTTACTAGCCACATTGGGCATGTTGTATACTCTCATGTAAAAAATAAACGAAATAATGATTGTAAAGTACTTAATAAATATATAAGATAGCAATTGGCACAGAAAGCATTGATTAAAATAATCCTCTTCCCTAGATGTATTTATCTTTTAGATGTGCCTAATTTTTCAAACCACCCAAGCAGCAATATTCCTATTAGGAGACTTCTCATGCCACTTGTTGCTATAAAGATATAGTCATTCACTTATTCATTCACTTGACAAACATTTATTGACCAACCACTATGTGCCAGGCATTGGCACACAAGGATGAAGAAAACACATGATTCCTGCCCTCCAAGGGTTGACCTGGAATTTGACCTCTGTTTTCTTCTTTATTACACTAACCTTAAACTCTGCACTTGGCTCTGTGTTAAAGAATAACCATCCCCCAGGGACCATGTAACACACTGAGGGCTGGAATGAGACAGGGTGATCCAAGGAGTCATGAGAACCATCCTCAGGTATCTGAAAGGCTCCTAAATACCAGCAGAGAACTTTTGTAGTCCATGTGGCTACACAGGGAGCAAATTTCAGATCAAAATAAGAGGGGAACCTTCTCAACAGAAATAAACAGTTACTGGTCGAGTTAACCCTGACTCATGGCTACCACATGTGTGTCAGGGTAGAACTGTGCTCCATAGGTTTTCAGTGGCTGATTTTTCAGAAGTAGATCACCAGGCCTTTCTTCTGAGGCACCTCTGGCTGGACATAAACCTCCAAACTTTGGTTATCAGCCTAGCATGTTAACTGTTTTTACCACCCAGGGACCCTTTTGTAAACAGAGCTTCCCCAAAACTGAAAAAAAGCTGCCTTGTTAGTAGAGACCTCACTACTGCTGTAAGAAAGGGTTCAAGCAGAGGTTGAGTGGTGAGCTGTTTGAATTCTCACACTGTGTGGGAGATTGACTACTAAGGTGACTTTCACCTTGGAAAGTCTGTGATACTATTTTATTGAGCCCCATGTGTGCACAGCAGCAGACCAAGCACTCTTTGCCCTGGGCTTTTATCTCCATGGCTGGCCCATGGGCCGATGAACCTGTGTGACATGAACATAGGATGCAGAAAAGCTGCCTTTCCAAAAAGATTTCCCCACCAATTTGCCCTAATGCCAGAATTTCTGAAGTTTCTCATTCTTTGTCTTTAAGACATGAAGGTCCTTGTTAAAATGGCAATCTGTTCAAGGAAATGCTCAAAAAACAATGAGGACATTTCAAAGGACACATGAATGGTCTGAAGAGGCTCCTACTGGCCAAATGCAGGATAACCCAGCAGGAAAAATTATATGATGATAATAGATTATGACACATTAAACAAAAAAAGAATCCATGGGTCAATACCACACACCACACCAATTGCTGTCGAGTAGATTCCAACTCATAGTGACCCTATAGGACAGAGTAGAACTGCCCCATGGGGTTTCCAAGGAGTGGCTGGTGGATTCGAACGGCCAACCTTTTGGTTAGCAGCCATAGCTCTCAACCACTGTGCCACCAGGGTCCATAGAGATACTAAAAAAGGGAAGAGGGCAGAAAAAGCTCTTCATGACAAAAGAATGCCAGCCAATAAATATAGGAGGAATGACAGAATTTGAAAACCACCATTTTCCAACCCTCAATGAAATAACTAATATAGGTGAGGCTCATCTGAAGATGCTAAACTCTGTGTGAACAGATGTTGGGCAACAGGATATTCACATGGTCTCTAAGTATTATTCCACAGATGACGTATTGATTACAAAGGGAAAAAGTACCCTTGCAATGAAGAGACCTGTCAGACAACACCTTAACCAATAATGGGGCAAACTAACATTATTTGCCTTCTAGAGTGATCCAACAAGAACACATCACCTTTCCATTTCCAGTATTTTTCCTAAAATGTTGAACCTGAGTCTAAACAAATACATCCAGATTGTGGGACATTCTATAACAAACTGGCCTACACTCTCCAAAATGTCAATGTCATGACGGCCAAAAAAAGGTGGGGAAACTACTAGATTTACTAGATTAAAAGACACTAATAAGACATGACAGCCAATGAGCGATCATTGACTGGATTCTGGATTAAAACAAAAAAGTGGTTGTAAAGGTCATTTGGCAGACAATTAATTTGAATATATACTGTATATTAAAAAAACCAAGACCTGTTGCCGTTGAGTTGATTCTGACTCATAGGGACCCTACAGGACAGAACAGAGCTGCCCCATAGGGTTTCCAAGGAGCGGATGGTGGATTCCAACTGCCAACCTTTTGGTTAGCGGCTGAGTTCTTAACCACTGCACCACCAGGGCTCCATACTGTATATTAGATATTATAACAATGTTAAATTTTGGGCGTGGATAATAATGTGGTTGTGTAGGAGAATGGCTTGTTTTTAGGTGAAGTGTCAGAATGTCTGCAACTTTTTCAAATGATTCATCAAAATTTTAAATATAGCTAGAGAAAGCATATGTGGCAAAATGTTAACAATTGGTGAGTCTAGGTGAAGGGTATATAGATGTTAATTTTACTAGGTTTTCAACTTTTCTGTGAATTTGACTTTTTTATTTTTCCAATACAGAGTTGAGGACAAAATACATTTCTCTTACTTGGCAGCAGTTAACTCCTGAAAGCCGTTATTACTCCCCAACTTTTCAGCATGGAGTTTATTAGACTATCTCCAGTCACCTAGCCAGGCCTGAGGAGAGGGTCACAAAGGGGATGTGCTGGGATGGGCTAGGACGATAAGAAAGGCCTGGAAAAGTGACAGGCATGGGTACCTGGAGCCCCATAGCAGGGGACCCACGGCAACTGGGCACCCAAGGAGTGAGGAGGCGAAACAGGAAGTGTGGGAGGAAACCAAGTTTAAATTCTGCCCTTTTCACTTCCGATCTCTGGGCAGCCCTGACCACCCCTCAGTGTGGGGGCATTTGTCACATTCTGTGCCCTCCACTCTGCCAACCACTGACCTTTCGTTTCAGCAGAGAGGTTAAAAGCATAAGATTTGGCATCAACAGCCCCTGTGTGAATCTCAACCCTGCAGAATGAACTTGGGCAAGCTATTTAGTCCTGCTGAGCCTGAGGTTTCTGATATGTAAATCCTTGATAGAACCAAAGTAGGTTATATGAGACTTGGATGAGATGATGTGTGTATTGGAGTTAGCACAGGGTCTGGCGCATGGTACGCACTTAATATGTGCATAAAGACATACACAGAATCTCAGCCAATGGCACTACAGCTCACCTACTTCCCAAGTAGAAAACTCCGCTTGATGCCTCTTTGCCCCAGCCACCCTCATATCCCATTCCCAAGCATGTTCTCTCTTCCTTAATCCCAAATATATATCCTAAATCAGACCATTCTTCACTATCTCCAAGCCTTCCGCCTTCATCTGTCATCTAGCCCCTGCAGCAGCCACCTGACTGGTCTCCCTACTTTTACTCTCCCCACCCCCAACCTCCAGAACATTCTCCACAGCAGTCACTCTCCTGCCTGAGCCCTCCTATGGCTTCCCATCACTCTTGAACAAAACCCAACCCCTGACACTCACTCACAGCATCATGACTTGGCTCCTACTCAGCTCTCCAGCCTTATCTCCTAAACTCCTCATTGCTCACTGCATTCCAGCCATACTGGCCTTGCCTTTCTTTCTTTGAAACACACCAAGCTCCTTGTCATCTCACAGTTTTTGTATTTGTTTTTCCCTCTGCCTAAAAGGCTCTTGCCTCATGTCTTCACATGGCTGTCTCCTCCTCCTCCTCGTCCTTTAGGTCTCAGTTCAAAGGTCATTTCCTCAGAGAGGTCTTCCCTGACCATCCTCTCTAATGTGATGTACCACTTTCACCCTCATCAGTCACTATTACCGTGTTTTATCTTTAAAGCACGTATCATTATCTAAAATTGTCTGATTAATCCCTGGTATGTCTTGCTTACTAGAATGTAAGCTCCAGGGAACAGTGACTTTGTCTTGTTCCCCACTGTAGCATCAGCACCAAATCCTAGAAGAGTATTTAGCAGGTGATGTTCTTGTTAGATGAGTCAGTTTTGACTCAGAGTGACTCCATGTGACAAGTAGAACTGTCCTATAGGGTTTTTTAGGCTGTAATCTTCATGGGAGCAGATAGCCAGGTTGTTCTCCCAGGAAGCTGATGGGGGGGGGGGTTCCAACTGCCAACCTTTCAGTTAGCAACCAAGTGCTTAACTATTGTGCCATCAGGGCTCCTTATCTGGCATGTAATAGGCAATGAATATTTAATGAATTATATTCACTTAAACATGAGCTCATGTCAGTGTGCCCAACGTCTGGCACTCTATCCTGCAGGTCAGGGCGTGTCGCTGTACATTCCCCAGTCCACCATCAATGCCACAGTGAAAGAAGACATTCTGCTCTCGGTTGAATACTCCTGCCTCGGGGTGCCCACCATCGAATGGAAGTATACCTCCAACTGGGGTGTGCAGAAGATCGTGGAGTGGAAGCCAGGGACTCAGGCCAACATATCCCAAAGCCACAAGGACCGAGTCTGCACCTTTGACAATGGCTCCATCCAGCTCTTCAGTGTGGGTGTGCGTGATTCCGGCTACTACATCATCACAGTGACAGAGCGCCTGGGGAGCAGCCAGTTTGGCACCATCATTCTGCATGTCTCAGGTAAGACTGCCCCAGGGGCGTGGGCACCCCTCTGGGCTGCGAGTGTGTGGGAGGCTGACTTCATGGTATTAAAAGAGGACATTATCTTCCCCTTCCCCTCACCTCCCCCCCAGAGATCCTCTATGAAGACCTCCACTTTGTCGCTGTCTTCCTTGCTTTTCTCGCTGCTGTGGCCGCAGTGTTAATCAGCCTCATGTGGGTTTGTAATAAGTGTGCATATAAGTTTCAGAGGAAGAGAAGACACAAACTCAAAGGTAACTCTCTGGGCCTTGTGATAATTCATGCTTTTGAAGATGGAAGTGGCACACGTTATCTTGTTCTCACCAAGAAACCACTGTGTGGCTTATTTTCAACTCACTGACTTGTCTTTTGCTTTGCAGAAAGCAAAACTGAAGAGATTGAGCTGCGAGATGTTGAGTGTTAGGCAAGGCTGGGCCCAGTTACATTCCTACCTCAAGAGGAAAACGTTATTTTCCAATGAAAGAAGCCAACACAGCCAATCCATCCTGTTGTCCTGCCACAGCAACCCATTCCTGATGGGACGGCAGGAAGTTAACAGATTGACAGCATGGAGTTGAAGGTTATGGACTGAAGAAAGTCAGCTGTAGTCCTTGCACTGAGTTCAAAGAGAAGAGCACTGAGCCTTTGAGCCAGGAGCTTTGCTTGGCTGCAGCTTCCGGGCCATGTTGGCCCATAACCAAAGGCATACCGCAGCCTCTGGCAGCTTGTTCACGACACTTTGCTGTGGCCCAGGGACTGGCCTGTTGGAGGAGTCCCTGTATCAGAAGCCAGAGTATCTCCAGGCTTGGGAGTATGCAGCCTATGTTCGAGCATGCTCTCTGCGGCTTGTGCGCCTGCCTGCTCTGTGAACTGCTTTCATCCTCCCAACCCCCACAAGCACTGCTGTGGGAGCTACTGTGAACCAACCTGAGGCTTTTAGACAATCTGCTGCTTAAGAACTAGAGGTAGACAGAGACTGAGTGGGACACTACTGGGCTGCAGTGAGTTGCTCAGAGCAGGGCAAGGCCCCGTGGCCTGGAGCTTTGGGAAGAGGAGCTCAATTAGTTCCTGAGGGGCCAGCTTTGGGAACAGGGAATAGAGAGAAAACTACCTTTCTTTTCTTCCCTCATTCCAGCGGTTTTTGGTTTTTCCCTTCCATGGCCCCAAACTTAGGCCAATGTGAGCAAAACAGCAGCTCATCTCCACTAAGCTCCAAATGCAATGTCATGGGCTACATCTGGCACCCAGGTGGTTTCCTGAAGAGCTGGGTAGTGCAACCTCTGTGAAAGCTGAGCCTGCATAACAAGGTGGCGCACCTGGAAAATGAGTAGGCCCAGGCTTCCGTTCCGTCCCACTCAGTGATTGCCACTTCATGTCTCAAATCAGGCCCTTCCCTCTCCTAACTGGGCTAAGGAACAATTGGCCTCACCTACCTCACAGCCAGGATATCAAATGAAGCACACAGTCTGTATAAAGCACTCTGAGCAACTGAAGGGAAGCATAAGGAGTCTTCAAGGATCTGGAAAGCAATAAGCACTTATTATCTGAATGCTGGACATTGGTAAAATGCCCTGGGATCTTGGGGTTCCAGGTGAGATTGGGGACTGGACCATAGGTGGCCTTGGCCCTTATTCTCTCAGGTTGCTGCTCACCATGTTTACTCTGAAAGTTTCTCTGTCTCAGCTTCCATTTGGCAAGCTCTAATGCAGGCACAAATGTATTTCCAATTCTCTTTTCTCTTTCCAACTCTTAGCTACAGACCGCAGATACCACTCCGATTATAATGGAGGCAGAAGTTATTAGCGGTGTTCCCGGCCATCAACTGGAAATTCACCCACGCCAACATGAGTGCTAGGACACTCCTTTCTGTTCTCCCTCCTTTCAGGTCCCCAGTGTCCATATTTTTTCTACTTCTCATGTGGCAGGTAATGGGTTACCTGAAAAAGTTAGTATGAGGCTTTTCCCTAAATAATGAACCCAGGGCCATGGGAAGAAATATTTTGGAGTATTCAGACGTGAACTATCAATGATCTAGAGAAGGGCCTAGATGACAGTAATTGATTGGTCTCCACAGCTGGTTTGTAGCTGTAGCACCGGACACATAAACGATACTCACCAAGAACCCTCAGACACAAAAAACGTCTCCACTCTCACACAAGCAAACACGCACACCTGGGCCCTTTCCCCAGCAGCTGTCAGAGGAACTGTCTCCCTGCCAGGACAGTTTGCTTGCATCAGTCTCTAGCACCATGAAGGAACAGGGTGAGAGTACCCCCAACAAAAGGGCATCAGGGACAATCAGGTTATTGCCTTCCCCTCTTTCACACAGAAAGCCCATCAGCAGGGAACTGGTTTGGAGCTGGCTGGCTGCTGGAACGTGAGCTGGCTGGCTGCTGGAACGTGTGGAATATGGAATATAATATTTGCTTTTCAAAACTCTACCCCTTCAGCTGGTCAGAAGTTAGGGTGGTAATCCTCTTAATAAAAAGAGAAACAGAATACCCAGGTCTTCATGGGCAAACTCAGCTGTAAATTGCTTTAAAAAAAAATCTCATCATAGGTTATTCCTTCAGCTTTCCATTTCTCTGAAAAAAGGGTTTATTTTGCACTTTTAAGGCTTCCTCCATCCCAAACATTACTGTGGAAAGTTTTTGATTCCAGAGTCTTTTTTTTCCAAGAGAGAAATATTGTCATAGAGATTTGCCAATGTGAATGTTAAGCTGTAAATTATGTTTCAAGCCATGGACAAAAAAAAAAACTGTTTTAAAGAATGAAATAAAACCTGAAAATAAAGCCCTGGTCCTTTGTGTGTGAACCCACTCCTGCTGAGAACAGAGGCTCTTGGGTGATCCTTTCCAGTCAGGGCTGGAGAAAGATGTGGCAGTCCACCTCCATAAGATCACAGCCTCGGAAACCTTGTGGGGGCAGTTCTACTCTGTCCTATAGGGTTGCTGAGTTGGAATCGACTGACAGCAACTGATTTGGTTTTTTAAAAAAAATTAGATGAGTGTTTTTGGTTTGTTTTAATTACAAAAGTGATACATCCTTTAAAATTCAAATGATACTGGTCTATATAAATAATAGTAAAAGTTCTCCTTTCATCCTCAATCTAATGGTTAAATTTGGCTTGTATCTTTCTATACTTGCCTATGCATATATGAACGTATCTGTCTATACATACACCAAAGTATTTAACCTGTTTTCTTTTTAGGCAAATGGGATTCTATTACACATATTATCCTGCAACTTGTTTTCCCCTAATGTATCCTGGGCATTATTTTGTGTCTTTATCTATTCCTAAACTTCATTTTTCTTAAAATGCCTGCACAATGCAATCCATAGCATGGATACATTAATAACTGTTTGCTAAAAATTTGCTTTTTATTCCAAGTGATACACACATAAATAAAAGTCTTGGGCAAACTTTGTATTCTATCAGACTAGCTCTTTCAACCAAGATGGCTTTATTCCTGTTATGAACTAACGCATTCAACTCCGTCTCCTATGAATGTCTTCCTTTTTCAGGGGATTCAGGGATTATAAGACTACTGGCAGGTTTGGCACACCAAGCTTTTATGTAAAGTTCATCAGATATTGAATGTTTTGGGGTGGGAGAGTGTCTTAGTTATCTAGTGGATGATGGCTTTTATTCTCTCACAGTCTAGGGGTCTAGAAATCCAAATTCAGGGTGCCAGCTCTAGAGGAAGGCTTTCTTTCTCTGTAGGCTCTGGGGGAAGGTCCTTGTCATCAAGCTTCCCCAGTCGAGGAGCTTCTCAGCCAGGGACCCCAGGTCAAAAGGATGCGCTATTCTCCTGGCTCTTGTTTCTTGGTGGTATGAGGTCCCCATGTCTCTCTGCTAGCTTCTTTTATATCTCGAAAGAGACTGGCTTAAAACACAACCTCATCTTGTAGACTGAGTCCTGCCTCATTAACATAACTGCCACTAATCCCACCTCATTAACATCATAGAGGTAGGATTTACAATACACAGGAAAATCACATCAGATGACAAAATGGGGGACAATCACACAATACTGGGAATCCTGGACTAGCCAAGTTGACAGATATTTTTTGGAGACACAATTCAATTTATGACACAGAGAGAGAACACTGCTTCTCAAAAGTTTTAGGTTTAGATTTGCTCTTACAAAGTAGACAGGTAGGTTACATCCCTGTGATACAACAGACCAGTGGTTATTCAGGCACTTCTGTCTCTTTTGGTATTTTTCTTAGGTACCTCATGTTTTCAAAAGATTTTTTCCTATTAAACAATATGAATTTATTAAATAATGAGTTCAGTTTTCATTCATCATCAATAAGTGCCAATGTAAAATTCTTGATTAATGAGATAACCAGGGGTATCACATTGATTTGATGGTGTTCCGGCAAAGAAATCAGATAGTGAAGCTTTGGGGTGGGTAAACGTAGGGTTTCCATCAGGCTTTGTCAAATACCAAACATATCACAGATCTCTCTTACTGTCTCTCTGGTTCTCAAGATGCCCAGATTGGGAGCACCTGGAGATTCTGCCATTGGCCTCATCTCTTCGGCATACTCACTAAATTATCAGTTTTTCAGATTGTATATTACTTTTATATCTCAAACTTCTCCCTCATCTATCAAGTCAAATACAGTCTGTTCTACTATAACAAATGTTTCTATACCAGCAAGAGGCTCACTCACAATTGGTAAATAGGGAAATGAAAACATGGAAGTTGTTCTGGTTCCTAAGCAAGGGGAGCCAGAATGGTGTGGAGTAGAAAAAGTCCCTCAGTCATTTGAGCTCTGTTCTTAGAGAAATAAAAATAAGTGCCTGAACCCTGGGCTCCTCTACTATAATTTATTTAGCTGTTCTCCTACTGAAAGACATTTGGATTGGTCTACAATTTTTTACTTTTACAGACTGCTTCAATGATCCTTGGAGCCCTGGTGGCACAGTGGTTAAGAGCTATGGCTGCTCACAGGTCAGCAGTTCAAATCCACCAGCTGCTCCTTGGAAATCCTATGGGGCAGTTCTACTCTGTCCTACCTGATTGCGATGAGTCGGAATACCATGGCAATGGGTATGGGTCAATGATCCTTACACAATGATCTTTATGAATCAGTGCAAGTATTTCTATAGGATAAACCTGTAGAAGTGGACTTGCAAACATAAAAAAGCAAACTGCAGAATGTTGAAGCTGTGGTCACTACCTTCTGAGGAGTACTTGCATCATGGTGCTACCTCAAAAAGATGGGGTTTTTGAGACGGGCCACCAATAAGGCTTGGAAAATCAATAAGGATTTGAAAGTAGTTCCCATCCCATCATTCAAAGGGACTTTAGCCCCAAGAGTGTAGGGCATCAACAAAGAACAGGAGCAGGGAAGTTTAAAGACAATTAGGAAAATTATGAGAGGGCATGGCTTTAAAAATGAAGTGGCAAAAGTTAAAATCTTCCTACCAACAACAGCACTCATTGTCTTCACCATATACAAAACATTGGTAAATATGAAAAACACAGGACATTCTGAAATGCTTTCTCTTAATGATAAATAAAAATAAAGCTGATGTCTTAACGATTTTCCTTATAACTGGCTTGACCCTTAGAAAACAATTGCTTAATGCTTCATATTTATAGCAGCACTTTAGAATTTAACATGCATTACCAACCATACGGAAACCTCTGAACTACCCTTGAAGTTAACAGAGGAGGCATCCTGGTCACCTTTTTATACACAGGGAAACAGGTCCAGAGAGGGTAACTTTGCCAAGCTCACAGTAAGGTCAACATTCAAACCCAGCTTTTTTGCCAGTCTGTTACATACTTGTGAGGGACAAATTGATTTTCTCCAACTTGTTTCCCAAGATCCACAGCACATCCTCCCAACTCCAGGTAATTCAGGTTGAAATGGTGAGTAGAAAAGGTAAATAAACTACGAGGCACAAGAGTAGCTGGCACAGCAACTAAGCTCCCTTATTTTCCCCACACTTGGCTTTAGTTCAGGGCTTCAAACTGGTTCATTCTGCTCCAATCAATCCCCTGCTGAGAATCTGCATTTCCACCCTAGATGTTCTGAATCAGAATCTACATTTTAACAAGATCCCCAGGTATAGGAAGAATCACGAGGAGCTCTTGTTAAAATGTAGATTCTGATTCAGTACAGCTGGGGAGGAAATGCACATTCTCAGCAGGGGGTCAGAGCAGAATGAACTGGATTGAAGCCCTGCTTTAGTTTTTGCTATTCTATAACTGGGTAATGGCCATTCACTAAGCAGTAATTTAAAAATATGGGGAAAGGAAGACATGAAAGTAATGAAGATCATGACCATGGTCAGCTACCCCAGGTAAAAAGAACAGGTGCATGTCTTAACAGCAGTGCTACTCAAAGTGTGGTCCTTGTTTGTGAACTGTTACTGGTCCACATATAAGGACAGAAAAGGGAAAAAAAGCATTCAGAATTTTTATATCAATTTGACAGTAATTTTATATCTATTAAATCAAATAAAAGGAATATATTTTGTATCTTTTTTCAAATTCCATTTTTTAAATTAATTCATTTTTATTGTAAAAATGGTATGGCAGCAGCAGCAGCCCTTCTCCTCTAACTTCACAAGGGGTGAGAAGAATCATTATCGGCATCAACAGCCCAAGACTGATGGCTATGAGGTGGAAGTCAGACACACCTCCACCCTCCAACCTTTTTACAAATTCTGACACTGGCCATCCCTCCCATGGGACACTCTACTTCTCTCCTCTGCTATGTTTGATAATTTGTTGCAGTGGCCACAAAGAACTCACAGACCATACTCACAGTTACTTACGGGGTTTATTAAGGAAGTAACATTACAATTCAGGATGAGAATGACTCAGGATACAGTTCTTCGATCAGGCAGCCTTTTCTTAGCTGTGCCCGCAGACAGGCCTCTCTCTGGCCCTTGGCCCCTTGGCCTGGCCTCTGCTCTGCTTGGGCAAGTGTTACAAAGCTCTTTAGCTCTGCCAATAAGTGCCCCAATGCACCTTACTCTACCACTAAGCCTCAGCCCGAAGGCACTCAGCAATTTTGCTCCATGGGTTGGTACACCCACTGTAACTGCCTTGCTCTGTGGACTGGGAAGCCTTCTGTGCTCTCGTGCCAGTCTCTGTTTTGCTGCTGCCGTTTCTCTGCCACCACATCTCGCCACCTTGCGCCGTCTCTGGTGTTACAGCTCTGTCTCCTGGGTCTAGGAGGTTCTCAGCACAGGAACTCTGGGTCCAAAGGACACACTCGGCTACCATCTCTTCTTCTTGGTGGTAGTGAGATCCCCCATTTCCACCTCTGAGATGGCTCATTTTAAGCCTAGTAGGACGGCAAAACTGACCAATCCCCTTGTTAGGGTTCTGTACACTTTAATTGCATGGTCCCACCACCACAAGGGTGCCATGCACCTTACTTGCACTACTGGCAAGCTATTCAATCCCCATGGTGGGCCATAAGCACCTCATTTGCATAGTCCCACACAGTCATCTGGTGGGAGTTACAAAACCATGGCAAGAAAGGCCATATAAAATTGATTCATCATAGTGCAATTGTATTTTACCAAAGTATCAATCTGCAGTGGATAGAAATTTAAAAAAACAAAACTTGTTCCTTCACTGAGTTTGGGATGTACTACACTACAATGTGAACCTTTGAAATCTCATAAAAAGCTTCTCATTTGAACAGAATTGTACAGATTAGCCTAGTAAATTAGCCAAGGCAAATATTGTAAGCCATCATAATTTCTGAAGCACCGAAGATTTTAAATAATTAAATGCAGAAGCATACCACTTCCTTTAATTTCCATGGATAGAAAGATGCAGTACCTTGATCAGAAGGGGTAAAAGTATAGTTTAACAAAGGGGTTAGGTATTTCATTGCCTACCAGTGCTGTTTTTCTTTTAAAGGAAAAAAAAAAAAGATGGTGAAAAAAATAACTACTTTTTTTTTCTTAATTACTACACACAGTCATAAATTATTAAAACAGAATGTCTATTTTAAAAATTGAAGGCCTTACTCAATAAGGAGACAGCCCCATGTAAGATTTTCAGTGGTACTAAAAGGCCAGTAACACTTAACCTACCAACTCACTAATGGAAATTCCTCAGGCACACTTTAGGATTGGGGCACTATTTCCAAGAAGTGCCAACATGTTACTTGGAAAAAATAATCCATTAATCTACTAGTTATTTTCCCTTTGAAAAAGCAGAGAGCTCATGGAGTAAGACAGAACCAAAGACCTTAACTGGAAGAAGCACTCCTGGGCACTGGGTGGAGGCTGGGGAGGTAAACCCCAGGGGAGAGCTGCAAATGAGCATGCACTGAGTGACTCAAAGGGGAGTCCTTAAAGTGGGAACACAGGTCAAAAAGGGACATGAGAAAGCCCTACAGATACAACTGTCTACTTCTCAACTACGCCCGCAGAGGGTCCTTTCTGTGGAAATTCTCAAAGTACCTGTTTAGGCTAGTCCCAAACCAAAAAAACCAAACCCACTGCTCGCAGCAACCCTACAGTCCCAGACATGCATAAAAAAAGAACTGGAGAAAGGGGTAATTCATTACTAATACAGGATCACACTTTTATAGCTCTGGTACACAAGGTCCCCGTGCTGGCATGTATTTTGTTACATTTCAGGGAAAAGGCCTCAGTATAAGTGAATTCCTGTAAGAAAGCTAGGTCATAAAGGTTTTTCAAATGTTCTTAAGCAATCCTTTTCACAAATAGTAGCATGTGACCAGTCAGTTAAAGACACAATTCATTTGAGTAATTAGGAGTTCAGAAAGTATTTGGAGATTTTTAATCACTTACTTTGTTCAATGTCAACATCAAAGAGCAAATACTTTAAAAAGCAAATTCAAAGACATGAGTTAGTAACATTTTCAAGCTAACTACATACACACACAAAAATGTATTATTTTACATCTCCCCATACACTATGTACATAAACTTCGGCATTTCAAAGCACTTGTCACTTATAAAGCAAAAGATTTCAAAATGCAAGGTAAATGTTTGCTAATTATCATTTTTTAAAAACAATACTCCACAGTCACAGAAGGACAAATATTGTATGAGACCACTATTATAAGAACTCAAGAAAAGGTTTAAACACAGAGGAAAGCATTCTTTGATGGTTACCAGGGTGGGGAGGGAGGGTGAGGGTTATTTACTAACTAGATAGTAGATAAGAATTATCTTAGATGGAGGGAAGGACAGCACAACTGGACTAAACCAAAGCTAAGAAGTTTCCTGAATACAAACACTTTGAGGGACAGAGTTGCAGGGGTAGGGGTCTGGGGACCATGCTTTCCGGGGACATCTAGGTCAATTGGGATAACAAAGCTTATTAAAATGTCCTGCATCCTACTTTGGTGAGTGGCAGCTGGGGTCTTAAAAGCTTGCAAGCAGCCATCTAAGATGCATCAATTGGTCCCAACCACCTGGAGTAAAGGAGAATGAAGAACACCAAAGACACAAGGAAAGTGTTAGCCCAAG